CGATATATTTTTGAGGATCTACTAGGCAAGAAATTTCCATCATGTAGGCCAAATTTTTTGCATGGAATGCAACTTGATGGATATAACGAAGAGTTGCGACTAGGTTTCGAATTTCATGGCAGGCAACACTATGCTCTTAATTCTATGTTTCATAGGAGAGGCCAGATAGATTTAGATGAACAGAAAATGCGCGATCAGAAGAAGCGGGATATATGCAAGGAGCAAGGCATATGTCTTATCGAAGTACCGTATACTGCGGATTTTTATCCGTTCATTAGACATGCACTAATCGAGAAAGGGTTCTTGAATAGTTCTTCCAGTTAGGTCGGATAGAATTATTTTCTTGGCATTTTTCCGAGACCGCCGGTCCTGCAAATTTGCAAGATTATTTTAGAATATCATTAGTAATAGTTCGACATGAAAATAAAGAAACTTGAGCCAGTTGAAAGGTTTGTATACCATATCGATGAGATTAAAGATGCCAAAAAATATAATGGACACTCGAGTGTTCCCCAATGGCCTTTCACGCTTGGAATCTTTGGCCGTACTAATACGGGAAAAACTAATGAGGTTCTTAATCTCACGCTCGGAACTAAGCCTTATCGAATGTTTAATGGGAAGAAAGGAGGGACACGCTATATCAAGTGTGATGATTTGCTACTCATCGGTCACAATCTTAATGAGAAAAAATATATGATCCTTAAATCAGAGTATCAAAAAATTGCTAATAGTCCAAAGTTATATCGTGAAAATATTTCATTCCGAGCTTTGAAGCCTGATAAAATTCCAAAGATAGATTCATTTTCTCCGAGCAGGGGTACATTAGCTATATTCGAAGATCTATGCGCCGATCCAAAGAAAGTGCAGGAGAAAATTATTCCTTATTTCATTGAAGGGCGCCATTACAATGTCAGTTCGATATATGTATCCCAGAGTTACTTTGACTGCCCAAAAATAATACGAAAGAACCTCTCACATATCTGCCTATTTAACGGGTCGTGCACTACGGACGAACTAGTCAGAATTGTGCGCCAATATGCTAATGACTGGCGTAGTGTGATTAAGATTATTGACAAGCATTTATGTGAGAAAAAATTCATTGTTTTTGATCTAACAGTACCCCGCGAACATCCACACAGGATACGGCTAGGATGGGACCAAATTCTCACTAATGAATAGAATTTTTACTCAAAGCTATTGATGAAGTAAGACGAAATGTATATTTTTTCCGAGCTTCTAGGTCATATTCAGATTCATTACGCCTCTTCATCCATAATTTCCTTTCATCAATGCTGGAATATATTTCCGGTTCTATATTTGTATCACTATAACTTATGTGGGAAGAGATCCGATCAACAAGAGCGATAATTTTCCTATCTTTGGCAGAAATAATATCCTCCAGATGCCGGCATTTATTCTCGAACATGTCGATGGACTTTTCAGCAGATGCAATGGCTTCCTTTGTATCAGGAATTATACTCTTGAAAAAAGCTACCGAATCTGATAATTGGCTGACTTTCTCACCACTCTCTTCTAAAGACCTGGTCATGGCTACTTCACGAGACTTATACTGTTCTTGCAAATCGAGTAGCTCTTCAATCTTTTTTTCCAATACCTGTTTTGATATACACAATTCCTCAATTTCTTGCCTTAACGAAGTTTCACAGTCGCTAGTAATAGGCTTCATCTTCTGACGCTCTTTTTGCTTAATATAATTT